TGCCCTTTTGCTAACTTATTTTTCAAATAATTTTGTAATTTTTGTTTATAATTTTGTGAATTTTTGCAATTGATTTGTGAATTTCTACTTCATTTCTGTAATTGTCTTGATTTTTTACTAATCTTTTGTCAGTTGTATATTTTCAGGGGATCAGATGAGGGACGACGACAGAAGAGGACTTTGGCCGGCCAAAAGAAGAAGAGGACTGCATTGCCCAGCTATGAGCAGAAAGCAACATTGGCCAGAGTGGTAAGAACATACTGCATTTGTTGCTATTTTGATTCCCTGTTGTTTTTGTTCTAAGTTGATCGAAACATTTAGGGTATTTCTTTAACATCCTGACTCTCTGTGTTGATAGGAGGATGCCTGGATCCCAATGTTAGGGACAACTTCCTTGTTTGTCAGGAGGAGGGTGGGGAGCAGGGAGGGGAATTAACTGCTGACAAGCAGAGAAGAAAAGGTAAGATTCATGTGATGAAATCTATCTTGTGTGGATTTCTTGGGCTATTGTTCAGTTGATATGAAGTCTTAAAATTCATTTGACATCTTGAATTTTGTTTTATTTCAGCAGTAGGCGGTTTGGATGATCTGCAACCCCTGGTGTGGACGAATCTTGCCTCCCAATCAACTGCAGTCATCGTTGGAAGATGCGGTAAGATTTGAGTTCTGCTCGCTGCAAACTTTCCCCACCTTTTACTTGTCAATTGATGTTGACCTGGTTTGGCCTTGACCTCTTGACTTCCTCTGACAGGATGCAGAAGAGAAGGACCCATCCCAAGGAGCAGAAGAGGACCCAGTTCATCAGCCAGAGAGCCTGATAGAGAAGCTTTTTTCATTTATCCCTCTGTCCTCCTTACTCTAACATGACTAACCATCTCCCTTCCCCTTCTCTACTCTCTTATGCCCTTTCCCAAAGTAACAGTGCCCTTTTGCTAACTTATTTTTCAAATAATTTTGTAATTTTTGTTTATAATTTTGTGAATTTTTGCAATTGATTTGTGAATTTCTACTTCATTTCTGTAATTGTCTTGATTTTTTACTAATCTTTTGTCAGTTGTATATTTTCAGGGGATCAGATGAGGGACGACGACAGAAGAGGACTTTGGCCGGCCAAAAGAAGAAGAGGACTGCATTGCCCAGCTATGAGCAGAAAGCAACATTGGCCAGAGTGGTAAGAACATACTGCATTTGTTGCTATTTTGATTCCCTGTTGTTTTTGTTCTAAGTTGATCGAAACATTTAGGGTATTTCTTTAACATCCTGACTCTCTGTGTTAATAGGAGGATGCCTGGATCCCAATGTTAGGGACAACTTCCTTGTTTGTCAGGAGGAGGGTGGGGAGCAGGGAGGGGAATTAACTGCTGACAAGCAGAGAAGAAAAGGTAAGATTCATGTGATGAAATCTATCTTGTGTGGATTTCTTGGGCTATTGTTCAGTTGATATGAAGTCTTAAAATTCATTTGACATCTTGAATTTTGTTTTATTTCAGCAGTAGGCGGTTTGGATGATCTGCAACCCCTGGTGTGGACGAATCTTGCCTCCCAATCAACTGCAGTCATCGTTGGAAGATGCGGTAAGATTTGAGTTCTGCTCGCTGCAAACTTTCCCCACCTTTTACTTGTCAATTGATGTTGACCTGGTTTGGCCTTGACCTCTTGACTTCCTCTGACAGGATGCAGAAGAGAAGGACCCATCCCAAGGAGCAGAAGAGGACCCAGTTCATCAGCCAGAGAGCCTGATAGAGAAGCTTTTTTCATTTATCCCTCTGTCCTCCTTACTCTAACATGACTAACCATCTCCCTTCCCCTTCTCTACTCTCTTATGCCCTTTCCCAAAGTAACAGTGCCCTTTTGCTAACTTATTTTTCAAATAATTTTGTAATTTTTGTTTATAATTTTGTGAATTTTTGCAATTGATTTGTGAATTTCTACTTCATTTCTGTAATTGTCTTGATTTTTTACTAATCTTTTGTCAGTTGTATATTTTCAGGGGATCAGATGAGGGACGACGACAGAAGAGGACTTTGGCCGGCCAAAAGAAGAAGAGGACTGCATTGCCCAGCTATGAGCAGAAAGCAACATTGGCCAGAGTGGTAAGAACATACTGCATTTGTTGCTATTTTGATTCCCTGTTGTTTTTGTTCTAAGTTGATCGAAACATTTAGGGTATTTCTTTAACATCCTGACTCTCTGTGTTGATAGGAGGATGCCTGGATCCCAATGTTAGGGACAACTTCCTTGTTTGTCAGGTGGAGGGTGGGGAGCAGGGAGGGGAATTAACTGCTGACAAGCAGAGAAGAAAAGGTAAGATTCATGTGATGAAATCTATCTTGTGTGGATTTCTTGGGCTATTGTTCAGTTGATATGAAGTTTTAAAATTCATTTGACATCTTGAATTTTGTTTTATTTCAGCAGTAGGCGGTTTGGATGATCTGCAACCCCTGGTGTGGACGAATCTTGCCTCCCAATCAACTGCAGTCATCGTTGGAAGATGCGGTAAGATTTGAGTTCTGCTCGCTGCAAACTTTCCCCACCTTTTACTTGTCAATTGATGTTGACCTGGTTTGGCCTTGACCTCTTGACTTCCTCTGACAGGATGCAGAAGAGAAGGACCCATCCAAAGGAGCAGAAGAGGACCCAGTTCATCAGCCAGAGAGCCTGATAGAGAAGCTTTTTTCATTTATCCCTCTGTCCTCCTTACTCTAACATGACTAACCATCTCCCTTCCCCTTCTCTACTCTCTTATGCCCTTTCCCAAAGTAACAGTGCCCTTTTGCTAACTTATTTTTCAAATAATTTTGTAATTTTTGTTTATAATTTTGTGAATTTTTGCAATTGATTTGTGAATTTCTACTTCATTTCTGTAATTGTCTTGATTTTTTACTAATCTTTTGTCAGTTGTATATTTTCAGGGGATCAGATGAGGGACGACGACAGAAGAGGACTTTGGCCGGCCAAAAGAAGAAGAGGACTGCATTGCCCAGCTATGAGCAGAAAGCAACATTGGCCAGAGTGGTAAGAACATACTGCATTTGTTGCTATTTTGATTCCCTGTTGTTTTTGTTCTAAGTTGATCGAAACATTTAGGGTATTTCTTTAACATCCTGACTCTCTGTGTTGATAGGAGGATGCCTGGATCCCAATGTTAGGGACAACTTCCTTGTTTGTCAGGAGGAGGGTGGGGAGCAGGGAGGGGAATTAACTGCTGACAAGCAGAGAAGAAAAGGTAAGATTCATGTGATGAAATCTATCTTGTGTGGATTTCTTGGGCTATTGTTCAGTTGATATGAAGTCTTAAAATTCATTTGACATCTTGAATTTTGTTTTATTTCAGCAGTAGGCGGTTTGGATGATCTGCAACCCCTGGTGTGGACGAATCTTGCCTCCCAATCAACTGCAGTCATCGTTGGAAGATGCGGTAAGATTTGAGTTCTGCTCGCTGCAAACTTTCCCCACCTTTTACTTGTCAATTGATGTTGACCTGGTTTGGCCTTGACCTCTTGACTTCCTCTGACAGGATGCAGAAGAGAAGGACCCATCCCAAGGAGCAGAAGAGGACCCAGTTCATCAGCCAGAGAGCCTGATAGAGAAGCTTTTTTCATTTATCCCTCTGTCCTCCTTACTCTAACATGACTAACCATCTCCCTTCCCCTTCTCTACTCTCTTATGCCCTTTCCCAAAGTAACAGTGCCCTTTTGCTAACTTATTTTTCAAATAATTTTGTAATTTTTGTTTATAATTTTGTGAATTTTTGCAATTGATTTGTGAATTTCTACTTCATTTCTGTAATTGTCTTGATTTTTTACTAATCTTTTGTCAGTTGTATATTTTCAGGGGATCAGATGAGGGACGACGACAGAAGAGGACTTTGGCCGGCCAAAAGAAGAAGAGGACTGCATTGCCCAGCTATGAGCAGAAAGCAACATTGGCCAGAGTGGTAAGAACATACTGCATTTGTTGCTATTTTGATTCCCTGTTGTTTTTGTTCTAAGTTGATCAAAACATTTAGGGTATTTCTTTAACATCCTGACTCTCTGTGTTGATAGGAGGATGCCTGGATCCCAATGTTAGGGACAACTTCCTTGTTTGTCAGGAGGAGGGTGGGGAGCAGGGAGGGGAATTAACTGCTGACAAGCAGAGAAGAAAAGGTAAGATTCATGTGATGAAATCTATCTTGTGTGGATTTCTTGGGCTATTGTTCAGTTGATATGAAGTCTTAAAATTCATTTGACATCTTGAATTTTGTTTTATTTCAGCAGTAGGCGGTTTGGATGATCTGCAACCCCTGGTGTGGACGAATCTTGCCTCCCAATCAACTGCAGTCATCGTTGGAAGATGCGGTAAGATTTGAGTTCTGCTCGCTGCAAACTTTCCCCACCTTTTACTTGTCAATTGATGTTGACCTGGTTTGGCCTTGACCTCTTGACTTCCTCTGACAGGATGCAGAAGAGAAGGACCCATCCCAAGGAGCAGAAGAGGACCCAGTTCATCAGCCAGAGAGCCTGATAGAGAAGCTTTTTTCATTTATCCCTCTGTCCTCCTTACTCTAACATGACTAACCATCTCCCTTCCCCTTCTCTACTCTCTTATGCCCTTTCCCAAAGTAACAGTGCCCTTTTGCTAACTTATTTTTCAAATAATTTTGTAATTTTTGTTTATAATTTTGTGAATTTTTGCAATTGATTTGTGAATTTCTACTTCATTTCTGTAATTGTCTTGATTTTTTACTAATCTTTTGTCAGTTGTATATTTTCAGGGGATCAGATGAGGGACGACGACAGAAGAGGACTTTGGCCGGCCAAAAGAAGAAGAGGACTGCATTGCCCAGCTATGAGCAGAAAGCAACATTGGCCAGAGTGGTAAGAACATACTGCATTTGTTGCTATTTTGATTCCCTGTTGTTTTTGTTCTAAGTTGATCAAAACATTTAGGGTATTTCTTTAACATCCTGACTCTCTGTGTTAATAGGAGGATGCCTGGATCCCTTGACCTCTTAAATTCCACTGACAGGGTGCAGAATAGAAGGATCAATCCCAAGGAGCAGAAGAGAAGGACCTAAGCCAAGTGGTAAAGAAGAAGGGCCCATCCTAAGGAGCAAAGGTGAAGGACCCAACCCGAGGAGCAGAGGAGAAGGACCCATCCTACGGAACAGAAGAGGTGGACCAATTCCTATGAGCAGCAGAGAAGGACCCATCTTAAGGATTAGAAGAGAAGAAACCATCCTAAGGACCAGAAGAGAATGACTCATCCCAAGGAGAAGAAGAGAGGACCTCTCAAAGAGCAGACTAGAAGGACCCATCCAGAGAAACAGAAGAGAAGGACCCATCCCAAGGAGTAGAAGAGGACCCAGTTAATTATCTGCGGGTGGGTTAGAAGTAGGGAATATAATTTGGCAAATAACAGACAAGAAGGTTAGATTCATATAAGAACAGTTCTATTGTCATAGGAAATTAAAAGGGGGGGGGGGGCTGGGTTTGCTTTTGAGACAAAATTGTAAATCGTATTGAGCTATAAAAGAAATTGTTTATTATAGTATTCCTTTGACCCTTTGTTTGCAGTATTCATGAATCATTTGACCCTTGGTTTATTTTCTTTGCTAGCAGAAGCAACCTTGGCCGACCTAGATTCCTTATTGAGGAGTAGTATGTCTTGAACTCAACTGCAGCAATCATTGGAAGATGCAGAATATTTAGGCTGGGATATTGGTCATAGAGGTACTAAGTCCAGTCAACAGAAGATGGAGAGTCCATTGCCCAGCTATGACCAGCAGAAAATATTGGCCAATGTGGTAAGTAACAATTTGCTCTTTTGAATCCCTCGCTTTAATTGTAATTTGATCAATGCAGCAAGTAATAGTATTACTCCGTTCTTACTTTTTGTGTCAGCAGGAGAATGGTTTAGCAAGTTTCAATCCCAGTGTAAGATACGACTCCAGTATTTGTCAGCAGGAGCTTTAAGATAAGGGATCGATTGTTGCAAACCATGGACAAAAGGGTAAGATTCATGTCATAATGCCAGTACTCTCTAGATTTTTTGTGGGCTCATCCATACTATATTGAGATTGTTTCTCTACTTTTATTGAGCAGTTTAAGATAAACCTCTATCCAGAATCCTTAAGAGAAGAATCTCACCTGAAAGCAAGAGTGCTGAGCGTTTCGGGATAGACTGCTGTAAACCCTAGGATGATGGTAAGATGCGATGTGCCAATCCAGTATTCTGTTGATTTTCATCATTTTTTCCACTTTACAAGCGTAAGGAATTCTTTTACTATTTGATATTTTTTATTAATTGGTCAGGGTTAGATCTAGTGTAGTGCTAGTGTAGATCCCGAGACAAGCTGGTGACTTTCATCTGACAGAAAGTGTGCAAAATGTTTGAGGGAACAAAAGCAGCCAACTCAAGAATTGATGGTAAAATATTTTATATTTAGATGTGCTTCTGGCTCTCTGAAGACTTATAGCTCTCCAAGTGTCAAGAACATCCTTTTTCCTTAGACCTATAGATGTTCTTTGTTCATACATACAGGGTTGGGCTGGTTTTCATTCTCAAAAGAAGAGCATACAGTAACCTACCAGAAAAAAGTTCAGGGATTGGCTGTGACCAATTCAAGACATGATGTAAGACACAACGGCACATCTTGGACTGTCTGACTTTTTTTTAGCTCACCTAAGCCAAGTTTTAATGATCAAAATTTGTTGTTTTCAGCGTTGTCATCATTCTTTTCTTTGTAAACTTTTTACAATTTCATCTTTTCTCGAGAACGTATAGAAATTTCATGGAAATCTCTCCCCGAAATATTAGGCTCCAAATTGTCAAATTACTACAAAAATGCCCTCAAGTATAGTTTAAATTGAAATTTGTGTAAATATTTGCCCTTTAAATCTTGATGAAGCTGACTCCAGTTTTGTGAAAAAAGTAGTTTAGAAAAAAAGAACAAACTTTGGCTCAGAAAAAAATTTCAATGACATTCATGTGATTGTAAAAGCCTTTGGACCTCTAAATTTGGCATTGTTTTCTCAAATGCATTGGTTGATTTTATATTGTTGAAACACAGTGCCTTACTTGTTTTTATTTTCATAGGTACTGAAGTCTATAAAATATCACTTTTTTTACTTTTCATTTGTTAAACCGACATTTTTTTATTTGATAGAACACATTCTATGAATCATCTGAGCTGTCTTGATATCTGTGGAAGAAAGAAAGTTGCGCAACACATCAAAATAAATTCAAGTTGTGGATCATTAGAAATGAAAGGAGAGACATTTGTTGTTGAAGGAGATATAGAACTCTATTCTGAACAAGTGTGAAGGATTAGTGACCTTGTATTATGGATCTGTGACCTTATGTGAAGGATCTGTTATCTACATGTAGTGTGAAAATAAGTGACCTTGTATGAAAGTTCTGTGAACTTGTGTGAAGGACTTTGACCTTTTGTGAAGATATCTGTGACCTTATGAAAAGGTTATGTTGCCTTGTATAAAGGATCTCTAACCTTGTGTGAAGGATCTGTGACCTTTTGTGAAAGATCTGTGACCTTATGTGAAAGATTTGTTATCAAGTCTGAAGGATCTGTGACATTATGTGAAGGATCTGTGACCTTGCATGAAGGATCTGTGACCTTATGTGAAGGATCTGTGACCTTGTGTAAAGGACCTGTGATCTTATGTGAAGGATTTTTGACCTTGAAGGATCTGTGACCTTATGTGAAGGATCTGTGACCTTTTGAGAAGGATCTGTGCATTTTCCACCTTTATTCTTTCCTTTCTTTTGTTGATGTTTTGAACCAAAAAACTTATGTACTATCATCACCCCCAGCAGTAATTTCCTTGTTACACCAGTGTAGTATTGACCAGTTTATAAATCCATCAAATGAATGTATGTCTTGCATTCACCCTTAGACTTGCATTAATTTTTTGCCTTGGACACGTGTGAATTTTTATCCCTGTTCTCCCTGGGAAGTTTTTAATGTTAGTGATTATACTCTAACCTTTGATGTTTAATACTGATTGGGAAGTTTAGGATGAGTGCAGTATAACAATTTTTTGTGTTACGTAGTATTAGGAAAAATTAATTGCCCAAACAACATGTAAACAATGTTACGGAAATGTTTTGTTACTAAGTTTTAGTTATTTAGGCTACAGCCAAAAAAAATTCAGAATATATCGCATGGGCAAACATTCGATTATAGAAGGGGTATTATCAAATGGTCACTTTCTAGTGAACACTATCCTGAGAAAGTCCAGTTTTTTATCAAAATAAATTTATGTCTATATTGCAAAATCCATAATTCTTGAAAATATTGTCTCATAAATAAATAGAGTGAGGTTCCGCCACTCAAATTTTTGCTTACTCTGCATTTTGCCGCGGTTCACAGGTTTCCATCATTTTTTCAAATTTTGAAATATTTTGTTTTTAATATATGGTTTTTCCTGGGCGGCAGAGGAGGCTTATTTTATTTTTGGATGCATTTTAATGTGCATTTTGTTATGAATATGCAATGCTGTATGAAAACTGCTTTGTTTGCATGTTATTTTCTTTGAAAAATAAACCTGGCCTAAACCTGCATGGTGCTCTGTAATGCAATTTAAGGGTTTTTAATAACCGTTTATATAGGCATCAAGTGTAGTGAAGAGACTGGTCATCTTAATTCATTATATGTGTGTTTTATGTCTATTTGTTTTGACATTAAAATTCATATACAATGTATGATGTACTACTTATAATAAGTGACATCTGCTTTCTAAAATCTTTTCAGAGTTATATGCATAACAGTAGCCATTATTTTCAAATATTCTTTTCAAAGTACATGTTCATGTAATAACATGTAAATTCAATATTCATGTTAATCTTCACAAATTATGAAAACAAATAAACAACATTGAATAACATGTAAATCTGAGTACTTTTTTTATTGCAGCCATCTTAGAGAGTTTTGTAGTGAAATGTTATTGGAACTTTATATACTTATCAAATATAAAACATAACTGCTATAATTCTTCATGTTCATGATGTGATAACAAATAAACAGTAACTAATATAAATCCAGGGGTTTTTTTTCTCTGTATTGCAGCGATCCGAGAGAGTACTTTGCAATGACTTTGGGAAATATATAGTTATCAAACTTGACACTGACATATACTGTTACTCTTTACTTTGTGCTGTACTGTTAAATGAAATTTGGGCTTTTTCCTTCCTTTAATTTCCCCTCCTTCCTATTGTAGCCAATTAATTGAATTAATTAATTAAGATACATGTATCTTTTTTTCAAATTAGTCCTTTGAATTTAAGATATCAAGTTATTTGATGCATTACACAACAGTTCAATTAGAGATATCTTCAAAAATTCAAGATAATTTTCAATTCTGAATTAATTTACAAATTACTTCATTAATTGTTCATATATAACTTTAATTCATTTGCAGAGTTATCTGCACTCAATGATTGAATTTGTTGCTTTCTTCCAATGAATTAACAAATTCAACAACAGAATTAATCAATTATAATTAATTATTAGGGATGGCAATCGAATACAGAATTGCTTATCGGTTAACCGCAAGACGTTCCGACCGATTAACCGGTTAGTCATATCGTATCAAAATACTCATTTTTTGACTTTTTTTATGTATTTGTATTTATATACACAAGAAGACTGAAAGAGAGACGTGGTTAGAAGTTAGAAACATTCTGCTCATTATCTTGATCAGGAAACTATATGTACATATAAATTATTTTATTTCAATTTCAATAGTTAGACAAGAAAAAAAATAAGAAAACCATGAATCTTGCATGAGAAATCAGACACAGAAATATATCTTTCCAGCGCAGATGTCGCACAAATTCATTCTTCATTGTCACAGTAATCAACACTTTGTCCGAACTTTAACTTATACAATGTTTTTCTAATACTCGTAATATAATAGAGAACGGCAAAAGATCGATACGTATACATACTCATTAAAAGTGCTCAATGGAGATTATGTAAAATCAAAAGTATTACGGGAGGGCAAGGGTACCAAAACAATGTTTTTAAAAACAGTAATTAATACTTCACAAACTGATCAATTATTACCTCGCGATCTCAATCCGGAGAGCCATAATTACCTCCAAATCAGCTTAATAAGATGTGTTAAAACGCTGAACTATCAACTTTTATGCAGATATTTCCTTTCTTAAAAATGAAATTTAAGAAAATTGCGTTCAATTTTACATATCTTAAATTTTCCGACTAACCGATTGCAGATTTTCTAATCGATTACCATCGTTCCGATCGATTAATCGATTATAACCGGTTACAAATTGCCATCTCTATTAATTATAGAAAGCAATAATGCAATAAATGCACACAATATATATCTTATTATTTTCTCTTTAATTTGTTTAAAAAATTGAGGAGTTATGCTGATGACAAACCAGGCTTGGCTAATGGTGATGATGTCTTCAATTAAATTCAAAATTCCATTAATTCTGCAATGATGCATTCATCAATTCCTTTAAAGAGAGCGCCACTTACAAAAATTATATATATATATATATATATATATATATATATATATATATATATATATATATATATATATATATATATATATATATATATATATATATATATATATATATATTTATATATATATATATATGTATGTATGTATGTATGTATGTATATCTTAATTTAATTGTTAGCAGCTTAATTGTTGCATGCTGCTATGGAATTTCATATACGACAGCCAACTGCTTACTGCCAACTGTCAGCTACTTACTGCCAACTGCCACTGCTCATAGATGATACTGCCTGTTTTGTTATTTTTAATATCCCTAATACAAATGGTTGAATAAACTATTGCTATGATAGCAAGAATAATATAATAATTACAAAAATTAAACGGTGAAGGCTAGGAAGGAATTAATAGGAGGAAGGAGTATTTCTTCTTAAATATAAACCATTAATCCCCACATTTCCTTGCAGGGAATTTTTTTTTTGACAGGGGAGAAATTAAGGCTTATATAACGTCAAAGGGGGGGGGGGGTAGTAGGATCCTTGATAATATTTTTGGTAAAAGCATTTTTAAAACCAGAAATACTTTTGAAAACTTATAATACGAGGCATTAATTCTACTCTATGTAAAAACAGTTGACCTTAGGTAAAGGGGGGCACAACCCAACAGAAATCCCTTGACAAGTAATAAAAAAGGTCACAGGCATCTTTATTGAGGAAGCGCTAGTGTATAGTTTATTGCCCCCCCCCCCCCCCCAACAGTGTTTTTACAGATCTACATGCAACATTACCCATTTAAAAGATTTAAATAAGACACCTATTAAAAACTTCACAAACACAGATGCCCTTTCATAGGGTAAAAAGAAGCAATAAAAGATATTACTGGATATTTTACCTTAGGCAAAAATTATGTTGTTATAATTTTCATTAATATTTCTAGTATAAATACATGTACATATACCAACAAATGCTAACCCCAAGACCCTACTAAAAGTTTGTTCTTTTGTCGTAAGTGACCCCTGTCTCTTTAACTAAAGGACCCCCCTCGTCAAAACAGCTATTGAATTATTTGCCTGCAAGGAAATGTGGGAATTAGATTTTTTGTTTTTAAGAGTAAATACTCTTTCTTTCGATTTATTACTCTTTTCTCGCCTTCACAGCTCCTATATCTGCTATTTTTCATCATTGTAAAAAAAACTACACACGCTAAATATCGATTTAATTCTAAAACCAGTGTCAAAAAGTTAATTGCTTTTATTTACAACTCATTTCATAAATGGGTAGGGGTTATCATTTGAAATCAGGCTTTAAAACATGACCAGATTTTCAAATATTCATGGAAATAGATAAACATTCCTTTAATCATTTTATAAAGGGGGGGGGGGGTAGAAAATTTTATCAACTTAGATCAGGCTTTAAAACATAACCAGATTTTCAAATACCCATGGAAATGGATAAATACGAGGGTTGTTCGGAAAGTTTGTGGACTATGCCAATCTTCGTTATACTATCTTCAAGAAATTTAAAATGAGCACATTATCATATGTAAAAATATTTATTTTGTTTAAGTGTGAAGTTTCATTCCATGTGATTTAATAGAATTCATGTTATTTAATTTTAAAATCAACATGTTTTGTAACCACGGAGCAAACTCAACAACACTGTAACGTCAAAAACATACCGACATGAGGTTCTCAAAAACACTATCCCTATACATTATTGCCCAATACCAGTGCACTCATTAAAAACGTTTCTCTATCACTTGAAATCTATTTTGCTAACAATTGTCCCAGTAGCATTATTTTGTTTGTCAATGTTATATTTTTTTCACTGCATAAGAAGCGCCAAACTCTTAGCATGACGTTACAAACTTTTCAATGTTTTTGAGAAGATTTTTACAGATAATCCGTTTTCTCAGAGATCACCATCGTCTAAGCGGAGTAGTCTATCATTCAAATACAGCTTGTACCATGTACACACACATGCATGGCTCGCTTTTGACATTTTTCCTTCTTCCTCCGGCATTTTCAAAGTTTTTTTATGGAGTTTTCCAGAGTACAACACAAAATTGTATGGATAACTGCTGCACCGTGACGTTCTACGATGTCATCTTTTTTTTTGGCTTTTCAATGAGGACTACCTATCATCTGATTTCTTTTCAACGAAGCAAAATATTAAGTCATAATTTGGAATTAGAAGAGATGAAACAATTCTTAATTTGAACCTGTTGAATTTTTCCGATTTTGTTTTATTTTACGGAAGATATGACCTCAGACATTATTTAGTCTCTTGATTGTAAATTACAAAATTTTGACCTGCTCCGTGATCCAATTTTCGCTTTTTATTAAGTCTAAAGAAGTTTGAAATAAACCATGATATTTTAAAAAATTTTGTTACACATCATTTACATTTACTGTTGAAATAGTTCTTCCAACTTTGGATAAAATATGACGTTAAGTAAAAAAGTTATGACGGTAGTCCACGAACTTTCCGAATTTAAAACAATAATCGATTTATTTACCGACTCTGCATTTAATTAACATTCACAGTTTATAATTAATTTAACTATGGAAACATGAGGTTATTCAAGTTCAAAACCGGTGAAAATTTTAATTTGAAAATAAATAACATATGTCATGTTAATCTACACTCAATCTCGTATTTTTTATTTTTTAGCTCAGATACACATGCATGAATAAATTCCGTGATAGCAAGAATATTACAATAATAAGAAAAATTGGCGGATTCAGGAATTTTGAATGGGTGAAGGCGAGGAAGGAATTAATAGTAGGAAGGAGTATTTTTACATTCCTTGCAGGCAAATAATTTAATAGCTTTTTTGACACGGGGGATTGAAGGCTTATATAACGTCAGAAAGGGGGTGGTGGTGTAGGATCCTGGGGCCCGTTTCATCAAAAGTCGTAAATTTAAGACCTAACTTGGGTGTACTTCCGGGGCTTACGCCAAAATTTAGTCGGGCGTAATTTGCGTTTCACGAAGTAGCGTAAGACTAGTCGTAAACAATACGCTTAGTCTCAGGACTAAGTCCTTGACAACGCTGCATTGCACATGCGCAAAAAACATAAACGTACGCATTGTCTACAATTCAACATACAGTGTTGTTCTACATACATTGTACACAATACGGTCACGTGTACATTAGCTTAATGAAAAATTACATGAACTTTTAGGGACCTTATAGAAAACATGCATTTTAAATCTACTTATTATAAAATATTAACTACTTACAACATACCATGTATGATTAAACTCCAAAATTAAAGGTCTAAGAAACGAAATAAATGTTCTTGTAAATG